CCGCCGCGACCCCAGCTGAGCCCGCGGCCCAGCCTTAAGCTCCCACCCCCGGGGGCTGGCATGAGCGGCCCCTCGGCGGCGCCGGGGGTCGGAGGAGTCGCCCTCGCCTGATCCCCGGCCTGCCGCCCTACCCCATCTCGCCGACCGAGGCTGATCGCCGAGCGTGCGGACGACCCCACCGCTGCTTTCTTCCTCCCCCAGATCACGCTCTCCAGTCCCAGAAGATGGGGAACTGCCTCAAATCCCCCACCTCGGATGACATCTCCCTGCTTCACGAGTCTCAGTCTGACCGGGCCAGCTTTGGCGAGGGGACAGAGCCGGATCAGGAGCCGCCGCCGCCATATCAGGTAGGGGAGGGTGTGTGTTGGGGGGGCTGGCGAGGAGTAGAGGCAGCTCTGGCCAAGATTGAGGGGGCCTCGGGGCCGTCTCTGTCCCTGGCCTGGGCAAGGCCTGGCTTGGGGGGCGTTGACCTCAACCCCTTAGTACTGGGTCTGAGGACATCTGCTTCCCAATCCCAAAAGAGGTGATTCTTCACCTCCGCTCGGGCACCGTGTGGGGATGCTGCTCTCTGTCCTTGAGTTCTGGGCTCAGAGTATGTGATGATAACCCCTTGGCCAGTGTCTGGTGGTGTGCTTGTGGGGTTTGGGAGTGACATTTTCCTGACTTTATATCTGAGTCGTGTGATTTCCTCATCGCACCGCCAGCTGGAGTCTGGATTCTGGATAGGTGGTTACCCCCCAACGCCCCATTTATATTTTTGTATGTGGTCATCCTCTCCTCCCGCCCCCCACCTTTGAGAATTGGATCTGGTAGTTGTTCACTGCTCCCTCTCTTTGGGAGATGGATCTCCAGTGGTGATTTTAGCCCTTGAGACCGTTGAGTTACTTGTTTATAGGTGTATATATGTATATAATTTTAGCCCCTCCTCCTTTTGCTCCACCCCTATGACACACCTTTTAAACGTGCTGACAATACACACTTGATTATCTTGAACTTCGGAAACCTTTAAGCCTGACTCTGAAGGAATTTAGGAGTGTCAGAGACTCTCCTAAATAGGTTTTGTTGTTTTTTGTACAACAGTCAGTAGTCCTAGTTTTTACAGAATTAATAGAGTTAAAAGCCTCTTGAGATCAAAATAGATATGCAGATGTTATAATCTGTAAGATATGTTTAAAAAAACTTTCCTCTGCTTTTTCAATTTTAAATGATAGCAAATAAAAACTTTCCCCCTAGGATGTCTTCAATGGTCATCCTTAATTTTTTCCTGAGGGGAGTTTAGTTTTCTAACTGGGCAGTCTCCTTTGTTGTTTCTTGTGACATCATTATCTGGTGTTTTCTCATTCCTGTGTAAACCTGTGCCTCATCACATCAGGAAAACCTAGGCACATATGCCAATTTTCGGAGTAAAACTCTTCAGGGGTCTTTGGTGTTCAGTCTTAATTGTGGCATACAGAAGCCTCCATGACGTCTCCTACATTCTGTATTCCTGGCCTGCCCAGTACACCAGGCTGTTTCACACCTCTGCCTTTGCTTCAATTGCTGTGTTGCTTGGAGCCCTTCCCCCAAGGTCGCCAGGTGAACATCTAATCCTCTTTGAGGACTCAGCTCTCATATCTGAAGTCCTGGCATTCCCCTCCCTCCCACCCTGAGTCCCTTATTTGTGTCGCCCCACTGAACCTTCTACACTTCCAAAAGCAACGCCTGTAATCCTTTAGTGTCCTCTCTTTGTTATATGTGTGTCTCACCCTTAGTGTTCACCTTCCATCCCAGGAGTTAAGCTGTGTGAGGGTAGGATTCTGTTTCCAGTGTGCTGTTATGTCCCTGACATCTGGCTCACAGTAGGCACTCAGTAACTGTGAGATAAATGAAGAGTATGAAGCATTGAGAATAGGGTCTGTGCCAATGTTTTGCTAAGTTTCTGACACATACGAAGCACCTCAATGTTGAATGAATTAATGAATTTGAATTCAGTATTGTGTTTTGTAGTTACAAAACCATTTCTCCCAGGGCAAGTTGTCACAGGGGTAGTCTCTTAAACATTTAAGCTGAAGGCCGGGTGCAGTGGCTCAAGCATTTTAGGAGGCCGAGGTGAGAGGATTGCCTGAGTCCATGGTTTTGAGACCAGTCTGGGCAACTTGATGAGACCTTATCTCTACAATAAATCAAAAAAATTAGCAGGGCATGGTGGTATGCGCCTGTAGTTCCAGCTACTAGGAAGGCTGAGGCAGAAGGATTAACTGAGCCTAGCAGGTCCAGGCTGCGGTGGCTGTGAGCATGCCACTGCACTCTAGCCTGGGTGACAGAGTGAGACTCCAACTCAAAAAAAATTCATGCTGAATCTGGATGTCTTTGCTGATACCGTTGAGTGAAGCAAGTAAGCGTGTTTGTTTCTCCCCATACAAGGTACATATTATACTGCAAATGTGGTTATTTCAGTGTTATGTGTACATTGTTTTTAGACTTATGAGTTTTTAAAATCTTTTAAAATCTATGCTCCCTGGCCCCTTTCAAGGCAAATTGAATATTTTTGACTTGTTGCTCTTTCTCCTATCCTTATGGTAATTGTAGTATTAAAGGTACTAGAAATTATATTTGCTCTTTCCAGAAAGTCTAGATGGTGATGAGGATTTTTTGGTATTGTGAAGGAACTTTTTTTGAAATGTTATATTTTTGACAGTGGGAGTTTTTTGTGACTGCTCTTTCCTGAAGAGAATGACCCAGATACTAATATGTAAATTTATTTTCAATTGGAAAGAAATGCTTTAAAAGATGGTTTATAAAAAGAAACTTGTAGAAAAATTGTCCTCCAAATATGATTTTTAAGAATGGTTATTTTAGATGAGCTGAGAAACACCAATCTAGGGTAAATGATTTATATTTTCAGTTGACAAAAGTAACTTTTTCAAGAAATAGTATGCAATAGAACTAAAGGAATATCGACTTTTGTCTTTAAAGAATAGTCTTGGCTGCAGTAGAATTTGAAAAGAGAATAGCTGATAAAAAGGAACACTACTTTTTTTCTGTAGTAGGTAGTTAGATCACATTTTTGTTTATGTTGTACAATTCACATATATGCCCAAAGCTCTATAAAGCAGAGTTCTAGTTATTTCCTATTAGGAATATCTGGCAGATTTGTTTGTATTTATTTTTTGCCTAAAGTATAAGCCCCATGCTATTATGGTCAAAGTTGGTAGGAAGTGCATATTTTTCCTGGGTTTGTCTAATAGCTTCTTAACTGGTCTCCGTCCTTTCACCCTTAAGTCTTCCCTAAAGCCTGTTCTCAACACAACAGCCAGAGTGATCCTGGTAAAACAGAACATGATACTCTGCTCAGTCCTCTGGATTCCTGTTTCATTCAAAGTAAAAGCCAAATTCCTTATTGCCTTCCATAAACCCTACATAATCTATACTCCCTGTCACCACACATACCTCTCTTGACACCTGTTACTATTCTCCCCTTTGCTGGCTTCCCTCCAGCCTCACCAGCCTCATTGCTCTTCTAGGATACTGCATGACCTTATTTCTGTGCCTAGAGTACTCTTCCCCAGTTTAATCATGGCTGACGGCCTCCCTTACCTCCTTCAAGTCTTTTCTCAAATGCCACCTTCTTAAAACCCTCTCTACCCTATTTAAAATTGCAGTGTGTCCTAACACCCAGAGGTCCTTACCTTGTGCTATTTTTTCCCCATAGCATTTATAATTTTATAACACTCAATCTTACGCTATGTCACCTCTCACTAGGTCAAAAGGAGGAAAGGGGATTTTTTAAAAACCGATGTTTCCTAAGTACTTAGAACAGTGCCTGGCACATATTAGGTGCTTAGTAATTGAGTTGAATGAATGGATGGATTTCTTTTATTTTTTATTTTAATTTTAAGGATGTGGGTTACAATTCAGGATTAGATATACAAATGGTCATTGTACAGGTAAAATTTGGGTCTCACTTTGGTCCCCACTTCACCTGATTTCTTTTAAATATTTATTTTGAAGTGGGTGCAGTTGAATGACTTATAAGAGCTATGCGTATTCCTAGGACCATTTTTGTTCCTATATTGTATATCTGTTTTTTGTTTTGTTTTGAGACAGGGTCTCCCTTTGTTGCCTGGGCTGGTCTTAGACTCCTTTTCCTCCCTAGTAGCTGAGATTACAGGTGTATGCCACTGCACCTGGCTCAGTTTTCTGAAAAGTTGTTTTGTTTATGAAGTCTCTGTGTATTGCACAGACTGGAGTGCAGTAGCTAGTCACAGCTATCATAAACACTGCAACCTTGCACATCCAGTCTTAGGACTACAGGCATGTACTGCTGAACCCAGCTATTGTAGATCAGTTTAAGGAATCTACTAAAATGTCAAATTCCAATAATATTACATATAGGAATTGGTTTGCAGTTGTTTGTTTGTTTGTTTTTTTGAGTTGGAGTCTCAACTCTGTCGCCCAGACTGGAGTGCAGTGGCCGCTCCCAGCCACCGCAGCCTCAATCTGCTGGGCTTCTGCAATCCTTCCACCTCAGCCTTCCAAGTAGCCAGAATTACAGGCATGCGCTACCACGCCCGGCTGATATTTTTATTTATTTATTGTAGAGATGAGGTCTTGCTGCCCAGGCGGGTCTCCAACCCGCAGGCTCAGGCAATCCATTCACCTCAGCCTCCCAAAGGTGCGGGATTACAGGCTGAGCCACCGATCCCGGCTTGTTTTTTTTTTTTTGAGTTAGTCTCACTCGGTCGCCCAGGCTAGAGTACAGTGGCACACTCATGGCCACCCTAGCGCTGACCTTCTGGGCTCTCTAACGATCCTTCTGTCTCAGCCTTCCAAGTAGCTAGAACTACAGGTGTGCGCTACCATGCCCAGCTTATTTTTTGATTTATTGTAGAGACAAGGTCTCATTAAGTTGCCCTGGCTGGTCTCCAGCCCGCGGGCTCAGGCAGTTCACTTACTTTGGCCTCCCAAAGTGCTGGGATTATAGACTGAGCCACGGAACACAGCCTAAACTAATTGTTATTTATGAAATGATTTAAGATTTTTTTTTTGCCCCATGTATATATCACCACAAGATACTCATTTAATAAGAAAGTACTTGAGGAAAGAAAGGGCTGGATACAGTGGTTCATGATTGTAATCCCAGCACTTTGGTAGGAGAGTCTCTTGAGGCCAAAAGTTTAAGATCAACCTGTACAACATAGTGAGACCCTCCTTGTTTCTGGGAAAAAAAAGAATAAAGATGCTTGAGTCCCTATCCCTAAAAGTATTGCAGGGGTGTTACGGGGCATGGGAAAGAGATTAAAGTATTTCTTGAGTTAGAAGGTAGAAATAAGCCGGGCTCGGTGGCTCAGCCTGTAATCCCACACCT